CATACTCATATTTATGACTGGAGTTAATTGCTTTTATATCAAAGAGAGGATGGAATAATGCAGGAGGGAGAAAGAGAAGGTGCTGTTGGTACTGATCTTGTTCTCTCAGCCTGCAGATCCCTGCAAGCCCATGTAGTTGCTGTGGCTGTGCTCTGCAGAGGAAGGCAGCAGAGACATGGTTAAGATGCTGCTTTAAAAATCCACTATGGGAATAACAGGGACTCTTAAGACGGAGACTAAATTGTAACGACAGGCTTATGTGGACAAAGCTAGTGGGGAGACTTTATTTCACCAGTGCTCACAAATGGAAAAGAAATGAAAACTGGCACATGATTCTGTTTTCACTTAGGAAGCACCCATCTGCCTTTTTAAAATTCAATTTATGGGAATGGTGAGTAAGGCTGGGCCAGTTCTTAGCTATTAGATCCATGCCATTAACATCCCAGCCGCTTCAGTGTATCAGCAGCACGCACGGGGTGAGGAACATGTCTCATGCAGGATTGGCAGAAATTGATATTAATAAATGGATCTAATATTCTTAAATTTGTATTCCTTCCCCAGCCTCGCAGCGACCCCAAAGGGCAGGAGAAATAATAAGTAAAGGCCTAATTCATTATTTATAACCAGGCAAACCAGGGAAGTAACTCTAGGAGATTACCTGGATAATCCAGCATTAGCATCTTGTTTCAGATATCTTTATTAGGACTCGGGAAAGGCTTCTGGGAGAGTGAAGTGGCACAGTAAATTCATACTCTGGCCTTTGGCCGTGCCTGGTGCCCTGGCTTTATAATTTACTTTGGGACGTGTGTGAGTTCAGGAGGAAAATAAACACCTTTGGGTGAAGAGAAAGGAAAGGAGGCTGAAGAGGGGCAGTACCATTTGAAGCTGCTTGGAGTGGATTTCAGAGGGAGGCACTCCTCAATCTGTTAGTGTTTTACAGGATGGAAAAAATTACATCCTAGAGATCAGGCTGATGAGGTTAATGTTTAGGTGATGCTTTGAGGTAAAACACATTAGTTCTTGCAGTCCAGTGTCTATTATTCTTTCTCAAGGCAGGGACAGCCTACAGGCCTTTTGAAAAATAATTACTGTCCTATGCTTTTTGCTTTTGTAAATGGTATGTGAATGATTTTGCAGAAGGAAGGGACCAGTTGCTGAGCTGAAGGCTAAGAATTATTGTCCTCGTTGGATTTTTGTTCTCTTTTTTCCTGAATAGGGTTGGAAGGGTCTCAGGTTGCAGGAATGAAACCAGCTAAAAGTTCACAAATAAATTTTTGCAGGAAGATGCAGATGAGAGTACCACGGGACAGAGGGTGAGATCCTTCTGAGATTCGCAGCTCAGGTCTGCAGACGTGAGATGTTTGAATAAGTTATGGGGGAAGAATTTAGTGTGTGTTCAGTCCTGATAATGCTTTCAGCTCTTTATGCTTTGCTGAGCAGCCCTTTATTGCAGGAAGAGGTTTGCTTTTGTGCACTGATAGCCAGGAGATGGGAGATACACTCCTTGGACAATTCATGGGGACTCCCCTCTGGATGACTTCTTGACTGGGACTTTTCCTCATCTTTATTCTTTGGATTCATTGCTGGTTCAGGTGTGTGGGCAGGCAGTTCAAAGGGAGCAGAGCAGGCTGTCAACAGTTAATAGAGTAGCAGTGCAACTACTTTGCATTTATATTGTGCCTTCCCTCAGAGGATCTCGAAGTGTTTCCAAATATTAGCTAATCCCCAACAGACACCTACCAGGGAGGTACAGTCAATAATAAGCCCATTTTAGATGAGGAAGTCTGAGGTGGAGCAGTTTAATGGTTCCTTAACAGATCAGTGGAGGTGCTCGGAGTAAAGCCCAGGACTCCCAGATGCTGGTCCCTGGCTCTGATTCACTCTCCTTCTCTTCTTTTTTGTCTGAATGGATTTACCCATCCCCAGTATAAAGCAGATCAGATCACCTACCACGTCTCCTTACACAAATTTCCTTTAAATACTAGCTGTCAGTGAGCCTTTTTGTGAAATTACATGCAGAGAAAAGAGAGAATATTACCATCTGGGATATCATATCAGCATTTCTAGAGATACTTGGTACAGGATGTATCCAATTATAAATGAGCTAGAGCCTACAGTCTAACAAAGGCAGGTGGAACCTTATCAGCAGCAATGAACAGTTTAGGAAAGAGGAGTTAGCAGGATTATTAACCCTCATGAAATAGATTCTGTCTTCCAAAAAGGAAAATAATAATGTCCATAACTGAAATAATTAACAGAAAAACAATTTGCAACACATAATTAAATGACTTAGAATATGCTAATGCATAGTTAAGACTGCACAAAGGCTTCTACTACATTGCAATCTAAGTATGCAATTTTCATACACCCATAACTTCGTTAAATCAAAGCCAAACTTCTCCCAGTTTAGGAAAGCACAGGCTCCTCATTGAGGTGCCCTGTGCTGGGTCTAAAGCACCAGCCATGTTTTCTGGCTGGAAGGTTTTGTTTTGTTTGTTTTGTTGGTTTTTTTTTTTTATTATTTTTTTTTATTTTTCCCCAAAGTGTGCTTTTCATCATTCTGTAACTCACAAGCAGCTGAAGTGATTTTTCAGAGATGATTCAAAACACTCTTCAGCTCTGGGAGGACATGAGATTGTGAAGTCGTTTTCAACAGCATGTTGAAATGGTCTGGGAACGAGAAGTGTCTCCTGGCCGTACCTGCTGAGGGTGCTGGCAGCTCCACCTGCACAAAGCTCCTCATGATGTGGAATTGCATTACTGCTACAAATAGTGCTGGAAGCCGTAGGCATTGTGTTGGTGCCAGAGCCATGCTGTGATTCCAGATATGCCTGCTACCAAATGGCACTGAAATGACTCAGTCTAAATACTGTTATGGTGCCAGTTCTGTGCCACTCTATCTGCCCCAGCTGTCCCACTTGCTGACACGGCCTGGTCATTTCACCTAAGGGCTGGCACTCCCTGAAAGTGCTTCTGCATGTGCTGAGAGGGGGAGATGCAGTCTAAGACTCTTCTGGGGACCCTCAGAATGCTCTCTCTACCGATCAAAGAGTGCAGGCTGGAAGCAAACCTGATTCTGCCCTGTTCTGCTGAAGTGTGCTGTGTGTCGTGGAGGGAGCTCTGACACAGGAGAGCAGTAAATGAGGTAGCTTTAGGGACACATTAGTCTCTGTGTGATTCCTGAAATGGTGACAAAACTGAGATGAGACTAAATCCAAAAGGTGCTGTGTGAGCAGAGCAGGAGGAGGTGCTGCTTGTCTCTCTGGATCCAGTCCTTTCTGCTCCAATAGCTGACAAAAAGAAATTAACAGTACATTTTAAATCTGCTTTTTGTATCGTATCTTCTGGGTTTCCTCCCCTGCCCACACAGATGCTGAAGGTGCTGGTAGTGGATTGCCTATGTGCATTTTCTGCTATCAACCTCCAAACATTACTTAATGACACATACAATGTGCTAATAATCTTCACTGGGCAACGTGAGCTTTTTGGGACCTTGCCTTGGGCTGAGAACTCTTTGGGGTTTAGATTTGCTTTCTCAGTGCTGAGGAGATGCCATTCCTCACAAAAGCATTTCCGAAAAATAGACTCCTGTTGCAGGAGTGAGTCCTGCTCTGGGTTAATGGTGTTTGAAGTCCAACACAGCTCCTTACGTTGCAGGGAGTGCAGCGTGCTGGGGCTGCTTGGTAGCGATGGTGTTATTCTGGAAAATGCTATTAAATACAACCCACAAAAACATACTCTGGACACATCAATGTCTGCTTTGGGAGGTGGTTCAGGCCTTTTAAACTGATTTCTGATATTGCAGATTTCTCTGCTGAGAGCCCCAGTGGCATCCCTTACACGTGCTATTCTCTTATGCCCGGAGTCAGCTGCTGAACAACTAGCTGTAGGATTGGGATGTGGGAATAGGAGGATTTGGTTAGAAGGGGTGGATTGGACTGATTGGCACCTGAGTGGAGGGCTGGTGATTTTCCAGGAGGAGCATAAACCACTGCTCTTCCTCCTCTGCTGTTCACAACACCTAGGCTGGCTTCAGCAGGTGGGGACTGTGGGAGAAACATGACAACAGTGTGGGAAGAGGCATGAATGGTTCTTGTGCTTTCTTTGCTGAGCTCTGTGGTTGCTTTTTCCTCCTTAGGAGAAGGCTGGAGAGAAATTCCTGATCAAGTCCCAGGCACAGGGATTTTTAAGGGAAGAGCACAGCAACAAGAGAGAGAACATGTGAGAATGGGTTTCAGCAGCTCATCTGAGGCAACATGACCCAAAACAGAAGGCTCTGGCTCTAGCACGGAACGACATATTCCCATGCTGCCAAAATGCACACTTTGGAGTATGCTATCTACTGCTTCATGGCTCTTTGAGGGCTGAAATGATAGAGACTTGTGTCCCATGGTAAATGATTGCTGTGCTCGCAGGCTGTTTGGTAGATCTGACGCACCATAAGTGCAGGTGCTTAGGTAAATATTGCCTCTTGCTTTGCTGAATCAATACCCGTGCTGATCACTCCGTAAACTGATGTGTGCTGATGAGAGAAGAGGGTGCAGTTTGCTATTTCACAGTCATTCTGGAATATCTTTTTCTTCAAATTGTTTTGCTTTTATGGGACTCTGGCCCGTATTCTGCAAATAACCATGGAATTTTAAGTGGTTAAGTGCAGTTGGCCAAATTCTTCCCTTGGAGATGCCCACGTAGTTCCCATGGCATTGCTGAGAACCCAGAATGCATTTCTGAGGACAAGCTTAAGCCCAACAGAGCCATTTCACTCCAGGCATAACACTATTCAAAGTCAATGGAAGCATGATTTGAGCACATTGTGTTTATATTTTTACAAGTGTTTTTCTCTATTCCTTTATTTCCAGGCTGGAATCCAACTATGTGAATGCCAGGCAGAAAATTGCTGTTTTCTTCTTAACCCTTGTTTTCCGTGAGCTGTACAGGTTTTTGAGGAGGACTTGGATTTTTGGAGATGTTAAGGTTGTTTTGATTTGCTCCTACTGAAGCTGGCTTATAACGTTGGTTTCCCAGTGGCCAAATAAAGCTGGAGTGGAATGCCTTGGAAAAATCTCATTCCTCTCCCAACAAGGTTGGTTTCTGACCAGTTAAAACCGTTTTCCTCCCAGATTAGCTGTCTGAGGTCAGCTCTGAGAGCTGGTAGCTCCATTTTCATGGCTTAAAGCACCCATTGCCTTCCTTTCACAAGGTTATGCACGTGATTGCCAAAAGTTGTTTGACATGGTGTAAAAATTCTCTGAGGGGAGACGTAGGCTAGCTGGCCTGGGAGGTACCAGGGCTGGGTCATGGTGTCTATGCTAAAAGTCTCCATCCTGGAAATTCCACCTTCATCCCTGAGTCTTCTGTGTTTGGTCTCTCTTGCCTTGTGTACTCAGAGCTTTTGACATCATAGTTCTGTGTGCTGAGATGCTGTGGGAGGTTTTTGTGGCCAGTTAGGGGGACAGTGTGTCTCTTTAAAGGGGAACTATGAAAAGGCTTTGGAAAGCTGCCAAGATGGGAGTGATTTGGACTACAGAAAGGAAGAAATATATGGCACCTCCTCTCTGCTCACACCCACAACAAAAACGTGTCTGGACTGGGGCTGAGGGCTATTTGTGTTTATGGTGGGAGGTTTTATGCTAAATCCTGGATCAGAGGGAGTCCAGCATGCACTGTGTCCATGCTTTGGTCGCACAGCTCTCCTGTCTCCACTTAAATAAGTTTGGGCTTGTCTTGGGAACCTGTGTGGTTCTGTTGTGCGTGGAGTTTAAGATGAGCAGAACCAAGGTAGTCAGTGTAGCTGGGCATGTACAGTGTGCCTGGCCATCTTCCTCCCCAGCAACTGGCAGGGTGACAGGAAAACTGGACATGAAGATTTCAACTGGCTTGGTGGCAACCCTGATTTAAGATGAATATTCCCTGTCAGATTTCTTTAGAATCTCAGAGACCTCCTTTAGGGACCTCCTTCCTTGTCTCTTCTCATTGTTTTGCTGTCTGCTTCTCACTGTCTTATTTTCTGTCGATTTAAGGCAACCACTGTTTGTAACCTGCAGCTACATAACACACCTGAAGTGCCTTGCTCAGCATTCTGTGCTCAGAGCAGTTCCCGTAGGAAAGGCTCACACTTTGGGGATATCCCTGCCTCCCTGTCCCACGGTACTTTTGGGGTGATAACTGTGTGTGGAGAGACAGAAATGAAGCCAGTTCTGCTGGAGAGGAGTGGCTGGGCTCTTGGCCTGCACTAATAATAGAGCTGCTGTGGCAGGAGGATGCACTGAGGTTGTCTTCCTCAAAAATCTTCAAGTTTTTGGTTGGTACACCTTGTGAGGTTTCCTAAGTGAGGGGCTGAATGCTGCAAAATGAGCTCCAGACTTCTGACAGTGGGCCTGCTAATCCGATTCAAAATTAATTCCTGGCCTCCCAGGGACACGAGGAGCATGGGCTGAACCCTACTTGTGTAAGCTGATATGGAGGGAGGCAGAGTCCTTCCAAAGCCACAAAGCTGCTGCACTTGCCCCGTGCAATTTCTTTATTGTTCAGCCTAAATTTAGGCCTTCAGGAAAATACCAGAGACGCTCCGGTGACCTCCTTGCAGTACATCCCAGAGCTCCACAATCTGATATTAATTACACTGAGGCTCTATATTAAAGCAGAGATTTGCCAAGTTACCACAGGGCTTTCGGTGCTTGATTCACATTAATTTGAAGTGGAATTTAGATATTCCCCCAAGCAGCTTTGGAAATCTCATAAAAGCAGAAATGAGGGGTTTTGCTGGATGTGCCCTGTTTAGCCAGGGAACTATCTAGTGGGCACCTGGCTGAACTACAAAGGGCTGTCCATGTTTCTTAGTGTTTGCCCTGCCCCTGTTTTCTCCCTTGTGCCTTCCACACATGGGCCCAGCTCTGCTGCCTGTAGCTCTGTTGCTTTGTAGAGACCCTAAAAGAGCTGTGATGCCTCCATATGCAGAGCCTGATTCCCTCTCACTTGTTTCAGTCCAGCAGTTCGTGCTGCTGTCTTACACTGTCCTCTTACACTCGGATCTCTAACATAACTTCTTGGCTTTTATAGCTTGGGAGGACCTGGCAATGAGTCTGACAGGGCTGGATAACTGTGCAACTAAGCAGTTAAGATGTGGCTTTGTAGGGTTTCCACGGGGATAGAAACTGATCCTGGGCTGCTTCTGCAAGGTAACTCCTTTTTCCAGAGAGAACCCAAATTGCACTCTACGCATGTGGATCAGCAGGTGAAGTGATGGTCATTTGGGACATGGGGAATTTGGCTTTGTTTTGGATGCTCCAGGAAAACAAGGGCCAATTTATTTCTAGTTTCATGAAGTAAGCTGTGTGAAACAAGAAAATCCCCTTCAAATTCCCCTGGAAGTTGCTAGGAATAAACTTCAGCTCTCTGCAGCAAGAGCTGGTCATTGTAACACAGCATCTGCTGAGCACCCTTATGGGATCCGGGTCACCTCTCTAAATGCCCTGCAGCAAAATTTCTTCCCGGGATTCTCAGCAGAGGAGATGTTGCCTCTGTGGTCTCAAGATACATCCTACCACGATGCTGCCTGCTGAAAATTATCCCTTCTCTTAATCCTGCTACTGAAGTGGGAAATGGGGTCATTGGGTCACAGAGGTGCTGTGTGTGGTTTGGGCTCCAGGCCTGTCCTGTCTGCACTGAAGAGGAAAGTTGCTTTCAAGGCACAGCAGTGCTGGCTGATGATCTCAGTGGAGTTTAGAGGAAGGGACTGGTGTGATGGACTGTGTTCTATGTGAGCAGGAAGGATTTCCTTCCTCTCTGCAGTGATTATAATTTTTTGTCTGCCTTCTCTTTCTCTTAGTTTCTCTTTTCTCCCTTCTGTCATCTTCCCTTCCTCCTTCATTGTCTGCCATCTCTTGCACCTTCCTCACTGTCTTCAGCTCGATACTCTTTGACAGCAGCTCTGGAAGGAAGGAACAACTTTGAGCAGCCCTGTTCCCTTCAGAAAACTCTTCCTCATGAACAGGGCAGCAGAGCTGTGCCCTGGAACACAGCACTTCCCTGGCAGGCCAGGGACTGCACTGATAGGCACCCTCACCTGGACCTCTATCCACCCCTTTGCCCGTCAGCCCTGGAGCACCATTTAGGGCCTGGGCTTCCTCTCCTGAGCTTCAGTGTACTTGCTGCCAGCCCTTTCCTGAACTGAGGGTTGTTTGGATTTCCTGGATTGACCTCAGACCTGCTTTGTTACCCTACTTTTGCCTGATGATCTATTAATAGACCTGTTTTTGACTGCCTGACTCAGGTGCTATGGGACTATATCCTGCTGGGGAGGTTGTTGTCCAGTCCTCTGCTTCCAGGCTTGCCTACCTTTACGAAAGAGCAGGACCTTGCTGTATGCTGACGCTCCTTTGACAACTTAAACTCGGAGTAATTCTGTCTTTCAAGCTAGAGAGAGACAAAAAGCACTCTGAAGCTTGGTTTTGCTCATGGACCTGGGGCCTGGTTGTGCTGTGGTGTCGGTGGCTCGGTGACTGTGCTGTGTGTTCTGCACATGAGCAGGCAGCTGCGGACTGGAAGGCAGCGGCCACTGCCTGTAGTGTCAGGCTGCAGTGCTAGGGGTGATTGCAGGCAGTACTAAATTCCATTTTGCTTATATCTACAAAAGCTGATGCAGTCAAATAAACCTGTTCTGACAGCAGCATTTAATAGCCTCACTGTCTGCAAAACCCCAGGTTCCTGTGCTCGCTGACAATGAGTGTCTGTTTTCAGAAGGCTGAATTTATTGTGTTAGAGCGAGATTTACAGCTAAGCATCTACTGAGTACCTGTATAGAGGCTGCTGTAAAAGACAGCCAAGGGGAGAAGGAAGGGGGATGTGTTGCATGGTCAAACAGACCAACAGAAAAGCAGGCTGCAGGTTTTGTGCATCTTGGCATCCCGAAATCAGCGTACAGGTAACTCCTCCACCCAGTGAATGCGGAGGAAGGGCAGTGAAGGGAGTCCAAGCCAAGCCAGGGGCAGCCACACATCTCTCCTCCCACAGTGTTTCCTCTGGTGTGGGAGGGGGATGTGTAGGAAGAGGTGCTACAAGTTGCAGTGCACGGAACAATGCCTCATGCAAGGTCCAACAGGCTCTTCATCTTCCTGCTGCTTTGCTCTGTCCTTACAACATCCTCAGCCCCTTCCACGTTTACACCAGGGGGGAAGGTGCAAACAGTCAGCAGTGGGTGTGTTTTCCAGATGGGATTTGAGCATCTGAGGGGCTTTCAGCCCTTGGAGTCACTAATGAGGATCTCTGTGTCAGGGCCAGCTGAGGAGACCTGCCTTTGGTTTCTCTCCTTGGGTTTTAGGAAAGTTGTGTCAGGGGGTATTTTGGCGCTCTCTGCATTGTTTCAGTTCTGTCTTCTGTTCTGGCTGGTTCAGTCATGCTCATTTCTCCCTTAATAGATTAGGTGCTGTCACTGCACACAGTTGCATCCCACCCTAGGGGTGGCTGCATTTTGGTGATTCATACTACCCCAGAGGACTGCCTGCTTCTTATTCCATCAATTTGATGGAGAGAGGCAGTTGAACTTGTTGTTTACATGATTACTAGAATGCCTGCATGGCAGAAAGCTGTATTTGTAATTAATATCTGTACCAATGGCCTAGCACTTAGTCGTCTTTCATTACTATATGGGCATTCTCTCTTCTTCTGCAGCTGGCAGGCCTTTCCTTGATGTTGTGGCTGACAGCCAGTCAGGGCAGTAGGCTGTTCAGAGAGCTTTTGGGCTCAAGCAGAAGTGGTTTCACAGTGCTGCATGGCAAGAAAGGCATTGCAGCATTCCTCTTCTTGCCTTGTATCTAAATGGAACTTGCAATTAATAACTCAGGTTAGCGATTCGCTCTGGCTGGCCCAGCTAAGGCAGAGGATTTGTTCTGGCATTTTTCCTAGGAGTTTCCCCTATCCCATTGATGGGCAAAGTTGGTATGGTGAAGACCCTCACTTCTCTGTGCCACAATGCTCTCTCAGGACCAGGGTTTCCCAGCCCGTTTCAGGAGGCAAAGTTAGTGGTAGGTAGTTTATCCTCATTGTAATATCAAGGAAAAGGGACTGATTGACAGATCATTTTCC